TGACCCCCCGCCCCCCGCCAATAAATTGGCCACATTTACCACTTCTGGGTCAGAGCTGGTGTCAGACATATCATAATGAGCTACAACTGGAGGTCCATCTAGGGAGGAAAAAAAATGTATACTTGTATCTAACTTGTGGGGTAAGAAATATCTCTCCAACTAATTAAGAGCCCACTAAATGCCAGCTGCCTTAACTACCATTGTATCTGATTAGAGCTTTATGCATCTGGTAGTTTGAACATGATGCTGAAGTAGAGAAGATAACCCAAGTTTACAAAGATGAGGGACATGTTTTGGAAAGAGGAAAGGGGCATTACTTACTATGAAGAACAGATGACAAGACTACACAATGTGACACTGAATTACTCCCTCAGAACAACAGATAAAGAAAAGGTGATGATGACTCCACAAGGAAAATGAGGGGAAACTGCAGTAAACTGTTGAAATATATATAACTTAGTGCCCTTAGAAAAAACGAGTTTAGCTCTTTTAGTAGCTAATACTAAAAATTCCTAGTAGACTTTGAGAGGAAAATCACACATACATTTTCTTATTTACTAAATAAAGTTGGCACAAGAGCTCTGTCCACTAACTTATTTACCTCCAGCAAGGTCCTTTTACAGTAACAGGGATGTTACACACTTTACAACATTCTACAAAAAGGCAATACCACAAAACCCACTGTCAGGATTTTGCTTTGGGTATCTTATAAAGGATAAGGGATAATTTTATTTTCTTTTCCCTGAGAAAGATAAGTTCATTCTAGTAAAGGATAGTCCTGTGAGTAGGTTTTAAAAGAAGTTGAGAAAGTTCTTATTGGAAAAATAAGAACATGCTCCCAACCCCAAATCACATCACTAACTGAAGGTAAGCACCACAGTAATTGCACTATAATTACACTATAGTAATTCATGCTACAATAGCCCAGCATTCATGCTTATAAAATGAGCACATGCTTTAAAATGGTATTGCCACCCTCTTCCTAACACAGTAGCAAAAGGACTTCAAAATAGTTTTCTTTCAGGAAATCCCTCAACCCTCCCCCCATTCTAGAACAGAGCTAAAGGGAATGCTGTCCTTCCCAATAGCTAGCTATGAAGAAGAAGCAAACTGTTTCTCCACAGAGATTTTTAACATCACCCAACAAATGAGTATCAAACACACCTATTTATAACTATGAATATATGTGTCAGTGAATGAAAAAATAACATACAATGAAGGCTTATTGTTTCAGTACATACATCCATTGTATAAACTCACTGAACAAAACACAAATACAGATGGGCTATTTATCCCATATCTTATGTGATATTTTAAAAAATAAAAAAAAGTGATCAGACATAAAAGCAAATGAGTTGTCAGGTGTCACTATATAAAGGACAGACACATCACAATATGAAATTCTGACGATCGTGGCAATTTTAGTTGACTACTTAAAATCATTTCCAGTTTCCTTACAGGGGTAAATCAAGCTCATCAAAGCCCATAAAATTTAACAAAACGATAATGGATTTTTGTTCAAACAGCAAAATTTGTTCCCATTTGAGGTTTTTCATTTCTTTAAAAAAAAAAAAAGTGCATCTTTTCTATGGAATTTTCGTCAGAGTTCAAAATGACTATTGTGGAATCATGATACTGTGTGATGTCCAAATACTTAGTTACAGAAGGCAAAGGGACCAAATACAATGTTGACTATGTGACCATGGGCTCTATTTTTTAAAAAGTTTTGTAGGTTTCTTCAGCTGTTTGCAATGAACTGTTTACTGATTTATTCTGAAATTTATAGACCCAAATCCAATTCAGAGCCATTTATCCACATATTCCCCATCTCCCACCCCCAAGCTGAGAAAACAGGTCACAGGCCAAGTCAAAATTGTACTACTCCTACATGTATAATCATGCAAATAAGTATAAATGTATGTATACATGCAGAGCCACATCACCTACCCATGGAAATAACTTGTGTGAAAGTCTTCATCAGTAGAAAATACAAGCATAAACTTGTTATCTGGCTTCATTCTTGTATCTTCCATATTTCCAAACAGCATACCTTATAACTTAGCTTAAATTTAGTATTTATCATAAAGAAAACAGCAATATTTTCATATTTTAATTATATTTAACAGTTAATATTATGGTCACTGTCACTTTTCATTTCCAATGGATTCAAACAATGACAAAGAAGAGTTATACAAACTAATAAAGAATTTTTCCAGCTTTGACTGTCAATGAGAAAGCACTAGTAAGGATCCTGTTATCCAAGGTATCCATCTTACATCTACCATTAGTAAGCCAAAACTAAGTAAATAATAATGGTGTGTCTGTAATAGTATTTTAAAGTGTGATTCTGGCGGCATAAAATTTAATTTTCTTCAGTTGGTTATTTTTACACTTACTATAGGGGGAGAGAGAGAGAGAGCACACACATAAGCACCTACTCCCATGTAGAGGTCAGAAAACAACTTTCAGGAGCTCCTTCTACCTTGTGAGTTCTGAGGATCAAACTCGGGTTGGCAGAAAGCACCCTTCTCCACTGAGTTAGTTCACAACCCATTACCTGCTTTATCTTTTAAAATATATCTTCAAGTAAAGCAATCAGACCGCTGAGAAGCTATCAAAGTTTGGTTTGTTAACAGAAAAATCTATGCTGTCAACTCATAGCTGCACAGAATAAGCACTCTCCGGATTATTCCTATATGCTTTCAAAATAACTGAATTCCTACTAATAAATTGTATTAACTTTCAAGAACACCAAAATTGTTGCTTTAGGTTGGTCTACATCGAAACACTAACAATTTAAGATTCAATTGTTAACAGAAGCATATTCCATGCTACAACAAATAAGGCTACCCAAGAGCATTCTCCCATCTGCTGAGACCCATCACAGCCATAAAAATCGGCACACAATAATAAATTTGCTAGTTTTTATACAATCATTAAAAGCATCTCCTTATAAAGGCAAACAATTAGTTAATAACATCAATCTGTGGCTTATCCATATGCTATTTCACCCTCACTAATTGCTTTCACAGGACACAGACAGGGAATCCTCCTGAGTACTGGGATCACAGACATGTACCATTATGTCCAGTTTACATTTTAAATGTTTTAGCATTTGTTGCAATTACAAAAGAAGAAAATTTAAAATCAAGAAATCCACCAACTACCTTTTATATAAGAACATCAACACAAAGCTGTAGAGGTAGCTCAGTTGTCAAGTCCCTGCCTAGCATGCACTAGAACCTGGGCTTAATCCCCAGCAAAATAATACACTGTGCTAGGTTTGTGCTCAGCCCCTAACATACATGAATGAATACATTCTAATCTCTCTCTCTCTCTCTCTCTCTCTCTCTCTCTCTCTCTCT